TCATCTCTGTTATTTAACAAGAAACCAATTGACATAACAGCCAGTCGTTGATCCTTGTCCGTGTAAACTGGAACCCAACTAAAAAGAAAGGTTCAGGTGATCTTAAGAAAATACCAACCCCCTTGGCAAAGAACATAAGCAAGCTTTGACATCAATAAAATGCCAGCTGATCTTGACCATGCAAGTTCACCTTCAAAAGTTGGGAAGTGGGGTGGTGGCCCCTGACAGACCATTATTTCATGCAGGAGAAGCTGCAATACTTGCTAGCACACTACAGATGAGGAACTCTCCTGTAATGAGTCACTTAAGTTCACAGACACTCTTGTACTGTTACACATCAACCACAAGTACGAGTGTTGTAGACAATGAAAATTAAAGTATCTGTATGATTTAAAGAATGGCATCGCAAGAAGATCCTTCAATCACAGGCGGACCACCCTATGTGTTCGTGATTAATAACAGAATCTATGAGGGTTATGAATAAAGCTCTGAAAATTGCATATCTAAATTACATCTTGGTCTAAATATCCCAATAAAGTTAAATAAATGGTTAATGAACTCGTGTGGTGTTTTTTCGCCTTCCTGGGCTTTCTGAAGCGCTTTTTTAAGAAATTACTTTTGGCCGGTAACCGGTAAGACAAGAAAGGGAGCTAAGGCTTGCAACTTGGAGGGGGCCAGACACGACCTCCTCCACTTCAAACTGTCACCATTTAGGTGAGATTTTCAGTATTTTGGCGTAAATTTCAATGTGAAGTAGAGGAGGTTGCAGCTGGCGGCCACCAAGTTGCAAGCCTTGTCTCCATTTCTTGTCTTACCGGTCACCGACCAAAAGTAATTTCTTAAAAAAACGCTTCAGATAGCCCAGGAAGGCGAAAAAACACCACGAGTCAATTAATGTTTTATTTAACTTTATTGGGATATTCAGACCAAGATGTAATTTAGATATGCAATTTTCAGAGCTTTATTCATACCCCTCATAGATTCTGTTATTAACCACGAAGACATAGGGTGGTCCACCTGTGCTTCAATGTTATAACTTACCCAGCAGAACACTGGTGTATATCTTTTCCCTCTACATTCATCATCCTTGGAATAC